GCTCCTGCAGATTTACCAGGACTCCTATGGATTTTAAATGGGATTCTGTCATGTGAATGGGGTTCCTATTGAATTTAAGGGCATTAAGGGTTCTCATTCATTTTAAAGTGTTTACTATTGATGTTAATAAGATTCCTATCTTGTTAAAAGAAACTGACTCAAATTTGACAGGAACCCTATTCAAATGCACAGGATTCCTATTTACATTCATAGTAGAAGCCTCGGCCCACAAGCTACCCCCGCAAGAAAAACAAGGGAGACCGAAGCGACTCGTCAAGAACCCGGCCTTCCGTGGGCGCACGTCATCCTCAGCAGCACCACGAGCAAAAAAAGAAGCAAACACCAAACCACCACATACACGCACAGACAGAGACATGGAACAGCAAGCACAACATCACAAGCACAAATGGTGACACAGAGGAAACCCCCCCCCCCCCAGGAGACCACGAAACACACGCTAAACAGTGGCACCTTACCGGACGCGGGAACACAACGAGCCTGGCGGTGCGTCTTGCGGATCTTCCCCTGACGTGCGACCGACAAGGAGGTGGCCCAGGCTTGAAGAGCTGGACGTTCTGGTTGCCTTCTTGTTCTCCTTCAGCTGGCTCCTCGTCCACCACAAGCCGGAATCCTTCAACACCGGTGTCACCAGGACGACCCGAACCTCCTGGCAGGGCTGCAATGTAAAATCGTTTTCGAGGTGCATGATCCGCGGCCTCACGAAAAGTCACCCGACGAGCTTGTCGCCGTCGGTGCTCTTCAATCTGCGAATCCACCAAAAAAGATGCTCATTCCAAATATACAGTCGGATTCCGTGCCTCGGCGCGGTACTCCGGAAGATCCCGTTCCTTGTCGATCAAACAAGCAACCGTAGTGAACACTTCAAGATATTGCGCGCGATGACTCGGGCTCGCGCCGCCTCTTCCAGCCGTCGCACGATGAGAACCATCGCGTCCATGCAACCGGACACTACTCAGACCTAAAAAGATCGATAAGCGATCGATGGGCAGGGTATGGCAATGTTTTCTGCTACTCAGACCAGGGATGAATTGTTGGTCAAAAGATTGCAGTGGTATCAGCAGATTGCTCGGAGCTCCGAATTGCACAGTATTTGGTTTGCATGCATGTTTGGGATGTTTGGTTTCGAACGCTATACCACCATTGAACATGACGGCAACTTCCACAGAGATGCCAACCCATGGGCACAGCAGTTTCAAAATGACATTTTGGAGCACCTGCTGCGTTTCGAAGATGGAGCAGTCCCGCCCCCCCCCCCCCCCCTTAAAAACGACCGCGCATTGCGATCTTGGGGGGGGGGGGTGAGCATATGTGTGTATATATATATATATGTATATATATATATATATAAGTGAGCACGAAGATTAGTAAAACGTAGTAGTTACATCTGTAAACCGTGCTGAAACGTGGGCGCATGGAGGGGTACGAAGCCCAAACCAAAATTAAGCAACTTCCGTCGCAAACATCGCAAAGGTTTCGAGGTCAAAGTAGGGCTGCCTGGACAGCAGCTCAAGGCGGGCGCCGGCACCCAACAGCAACCTGGAGAATGGGTGCGTACGGAGGTTTGTTAGGGTTTAGGGTTTAGGGTTTAGGGTTTGGGGTTTAGGGTTTAGGGTTTAGGGTTGAGGGTTGAGGGTTTAGGGTTTAGGGAAAAAGGGTTGGGGTTCAGGGAGGGTTGTGGGTTTTGGGGCTTAAGGGGAGGGGCAGATCCCTTGCCCTCCCCCCCCCCCAGTTTCGGATCTCATGCCCTAAGAACCATATGCCCTAAGAACCTCCCTTCCCCCCCAAAGAAACTGCCCCAAACCCTATAAGCCAAACGACCGAAGTACCAGTTTCATTGCCTACCATGATACCATGAAAGCCGCTTCTCCTGGTTTTGTAGGACCCTCCGGAAGTCTAGCGTGTAGCCCAGTAACCATATTTTAATAAGGGCACCCTTTTTGGGTTGGACACTTTGTCAGGGAACCTTGCACCACCAAAAAATTGAAAAGGGTACCACTGACCTACCAAGGCAAAAAAAGCTTGGGGGTTCTTCTGCATGTCCCCTAAATCCACTGCTGTCCCTCTAGGAGCCTGCGGAGCAAGAACTTCGTAGGGTTCGTCTGGGGTTTAGGGTTTGGGGTTTAGGGTTTAGGGTTTGGGGTTTAGGGTTTAGGGTTTGGGGTTTAGGGTTTGGGGTTTAGGGTTTAGGGCTTGAGGTTTAGGGTTTAGGGTTTGGGGCCAGTTTGGGGTTTGTAGGGTTGAAGTCGTCAAGGAACCGCGCGCACTCCCGGTGGCCATATCTGGCGGCATGGATGAGAGCTGTGCAGCCGTCAGCATCTTGCTTCCTGGGTTGGCAGTTACACCCAAGCCCTAAACCCTAAACCCTAAACCCAAAACCCAAAACCCAAAACCCTAAACCCTAAACCCTGAACCCTGAACCCTGAACCCTATGAAATGTCCCAAAAGCCAGCCTAGCTTCTCCTTGCCAGCACCAGCTTCCACAAGCAACCGCAGAATCTCCGCGTGGCCATTTCCTAGGAGGGCCCTTATAGAGCCCTCTGAAGACAATCCTCAATATGACCCCTTGAACCCCAATTAGGGTTTAGGGTTTAGGGTTTAGGGTTTAGATAAGGTATCCCAAGGACCGACCGAGTGTCGGGAAGCATGGATGAGAGCGGTGAAGCCGTCGGAGTCTTGGACATCCTTGTCGGCTCCCTCTTCTACAAGCAGCCGCGCGACCTCCACGTGGCCACTGGCTGCTGCCTCATTCCTTAGCCCAGCAACCATATCATAATAAGGGGTTTAGGGTTTAGGCTTTAGGGTTTAAGGGCACCCTTTTTCTGGGTTGGTTACTTTATAAGGGAACCCAGAAACCAAAAAAAAATGTATAAAGGGTACCACTGGGCCACCAAGATTCAGAGCGGTCTTGCCGGAAAAGTCTCGCGCATCCATTTTGGCCCCGGCTGCCAACAACAACCGCACAATCTCCAGGTGGCCATTTGCAGCAGCACCCATGAGAGCTGTCTTCTGAGAACCTGTGCCGTTGTCCTTCACCTGGGTTCCCCAGTAACCTAGCAAGAAAGTAAGAGCCCTTCTGTGTTTAATGCCCACACAAACCCTAGAACCAAGAGAAGACAAGTACCCCTGCATGGGGGGTCCGAGTCACATTCGTTTCAGCACCCGCATCGAGCAGTAACCGCACGACATCCACATGGCCCTGGCCACAGGCCTCACAGAGCTCCTGTGCCACCTCCTCCTTCGCTGCCGCACTCACGGATAGCCTTGGCGACCACATGACCCCCCCAAAATTGTGGTCATATACCCTATACTACTGCAACTCCTATCTTAAGGCATATGAACCCATAAACCCCTATTAAGGTATATGAATTTATGAACCACAGGCCCTGGTAGGGTTCATTTCGTCCCCCAAGGAACAAGACGAGTTGTATGTCGATAGGTCCGGCAAGGGTCTCCTGCAGCTTGGCCAGCTGAGCAGCCTAGGATGGCCCTTAAACAGCCTCTGAAACATATCCCTGGATATGGGTTTAGGGTTTAGGGTTTAGGGTTTGGGGTTTAGGGTTTAGGGTTTGGGGTTTAGGGTTTAGGGGTTTAGGGTTTACGGTTTAGGGATATTCCTGAATGTGAGCCCCTTAAACCCTACAAGGGAAAACAAAAAATGTCCCAAGCGCCTGCCTAGCAGCATCATCCAAGCTGCTGCCATCGTGCAGTAGCTGCTGCAGGCACGCTGGACAGTCGAATTCTCTCCGCAGAGCTTGCTTCAAGTCCTTGACGTCAGTCATGTCATCCAAAGCCAAGCTCGCCAGCTGTTCCCCTGACATCCGCCACACGCGAAGCATGCCAAACGTGCGAGTTGAGCCCGGCTGTTTCCTCTCAAAACGCCTGAACAGAGATTGAAGCATGCCAGCTCAAAGGAAGGCCAGCCACCAAAGAATTTGTGTTTCGGAGGCTTCAGAAATGCAAGTGCCTTACGACGTTTTCTACAGACCCCGCAGATAAGTAGCATCAATCATATCTTATCCCTATGGTAGCGCAAATTCTGTGGCACTCCCAGACTTTCAGTTTCGAAGGAAACGCCAGGGACCTTATCTTAGCCTTGAGCCCGAGGTCCTGCGTCAGGCTTTTGGTGGGGGTCCGGGGTGGGGTTCATGAGCTTGGGCTTAGGGTTTGGGGTTTGGGGTTTGAGGTTTGGGGTTTAGGGCTCTGGTCCGCCGACCCTGGCGGCGTGTTGGATGGGTTTGAGGAGGTGAAAACCTCGGGAGGGGGGGGGGGGGGGGGGGGGGGGGGTCGGTGCACAATTTTTCCCCCCCCCCTCCCCCCTGTCTTTTCTTTCCGGCTGCCTTCTGGGCTGTTTGGGTCCTGGTGCCACCCCCCCCCCCCAACGTTTCACAGAACTCTGCCGAGCAGGCTGGGATGATCTTCGAACCATGCGATGAGGAAAGCATCCTTTGAGCCGACGAGTGGGTTTAGACCTTTCAACTATGCTCCAGCGGGGTCGGCGGCTTGAGCCGGAGGCTCTTAAATTTTGTGGGCTTTGTGCTGGGAGCGCAAGGGTAGGAATCGCTCGATGCTTTTTGGGGCTGAGGTTCATGGGCCCCAAACCCTAAACCCTAAACCCTTAACCCTCAACAGTTTGGGGCTGAGGTTCATGGGCCCTAAACCCTAAACCCTAAACATTTTGGGGCTGAGGTTCCTGGGGGCATAGAGCTGCAGAGGCACGGTTTGGGATTTCGGGGTTCGGAGAGGCCACCGAGTCTCTAGGCTTCCTGGGCTGCATATTGATCTACATCAACTTATGTATATACATAAATAAATAAATAAATAAATGAATATATATATATATAGAACACGGTTCTTAGGCACCCTCAACCCGAAACCCTGGTCATACGATTCTTGCAGTACTCTCAGGCAAGCTGCAAGAGAAGTAGGCTTCATGGCCCTTCCTTCTGGAACCCTAAACCCCAAGTCCGAAACTCCCACGCCTCCACAGCTTTCTGCCCCACTTCGCACAAGTCCTCCAGCAACTGGTCAAGGGCTCATAGGTTCAAAGGGCTCATAGGGTTTAATTAGGGTTCAGGTATTAGGGTTTAGGGTTTTAGGGTTTAGGGTTTAGGGTTTAGGGAGTTGTTTAGGGTTCAGGGCTCATAGGTTCCAAGGTCTCATAAGGCTCATGTGGGTTCATGGCATTCAGAGGGTCTCCTGGGCATGTGACTAATAAGGGACCATTTTGGTTTAAAGGGGCTTTATAAGGGAGCCCCAGAAAAAGGGAATGGGTCCACTCCGGGTCTTAAACCCTAAACCCTAAACCCTAAACCCGAAACCGAACCCTAAACCCTAAAAACATGACAGGATGTTTCGGATCTATAGGGGATTGAAGTTTAGGGCTCCGGGTGCAATCCAAAGATCAAGTCAACACAGAGCTTCCACCCCTCTACGAAAAACCTCAACAGAAAATCGTAGGAAGCAGACCCAGGAAGTTTTGGGGTTCAAGGTTTAGGTATTATTAGGCGCTGTAAAGCGCAATGCTGGCAGCGTAGACCCCATCGCAGGCGTCACCCACGGGAGCGCGATCCAAGGCTTTCATGAGGAGCATGCGCCATGGGCCGAGGTGGCACAGCACGCTGCGAACAACGCAAATCGCAAAAAAGCTCCGCGGAGTGGACGCAGGAAGCGAAGCTCGGGAGGCAGGAAAGAACAGCCACGTAGTGGCAACCCGGACAAAGAAGCGACGCCAAAATCCCGTATGATGTCGCGATGAGCACCACAGTAGCCGAAACGGCGCGACCCGACTAGTCTCCGTGCCTAGCCAGGAGCACTGTGCGATTCTGACATCCCGAGCGAGAAGCAGCATAAGAACAGAAAATAATATGACGCAATATACTGCATACAACACAAGAATGTTAATCTGAATGACATATCAACACTTTTTGGTACAAAATACTCAACGTGAGTATCAATATTTCTAGTAGTAATATATGAACCTAATATTGCCGAAGGATAAGAAAACATTTTGGTACTACAAGGACTGTAATAGTTTCAGCTGCCAAAAAGACAAACGAAATATACATACGTATAGATATATACGTATCACCCTCTCAATGTTGCGACCCCATCGCGTCGACTTTTTTCTTTGGGCAAAACACCGATCGAGGCCCAGGGAACTCATCAAGAATCCCAAAACCTACCCTTTCTGTACCCCTTAAGTGCCCTAATATGGTGATAAGTACAGTTATGGTTGGTTAACAAGTACCATGAAGTAGGTATCATCACCTACCCCAAAACCCTAAACCCTAAACGTCCTACCAGGGCTTTAAAATTACTACAGTAGCTAAAAAATCACCTAAACCCTAAACCCTAAAGCTTAAAACCCCTACCAGAGATTTATATTTCCTGGCCCGCAGAAACATGAGATTTTTTGGGCATGATTTTTTTGGGCATGTGCATTGTGAGCGACGTGGCTCTGGGCCTCCGAGCTCCCACGTCACACTGATCCCTTAGACCCATCAGACTAAGGCTTCTAGGTTTCGCCCTAAACCCTAAACCCTAAACCCTAAACCCTAAACCCTAAACCCCAAACCCCAAACCCCAAACCCTAAACCCTAAACCCTCAACCCTAAACGGGATTTAAGCCCTTAGACCGTCGAAGTCCGCACACCCCTGTGGCAGCCGGCCGCGCGTCCTGGCCAATAGCAGTGACGGACTTGTCGCTGCCCTCGGAAGGAGTGGTTTTAGGGTTTCGGGTTTAGGGTTTCGGGTTTAGGGTTTAGGGATTAGGTTTTCTTCACTAGGATTGCCCTTAAAACCCTCTGAAAGAATTCCTGAACAGGATCCACTTAGACCCAGTGAGGGAAATTGTGCAATATCCCAAGGCCCTACCAAGTACGGCGTTTGGGGGCTCTTGCATTGGGGAGTAGCAGAGCTACCGCAGAAGGTTGGGGTGTTCCCCTTTGTACCAAACAGCGCTTAGTAGGGATCTTAATAGGGGGCTACTATAATCCCCAGTGAGGGCTGTTAGTAGAAGGGGGAGCATCCCAAGCAGAAGGTCTCACGGTCCCTAAACCCTAAACCCTAAACCCTAAACCCTAAACCCTAAACCCTAAACCCTAAACCCTAAACCCTAAACCCTAAACCCTAAACCCTAAACCCTAAACCCTAAACCCTAAACCCTAAACCCTGAACCCTACCCTTTACCAAAGGTGGGTGTTCAGGGCAGCTGCCGGAGCGTTTGCAACAGGTCGACGGACTATATAGTAGGGTTTAGGTTTAGGGTTTAGGGTTTGGGGTTTGGGGTTTGGGGTTTAGGGTTTAGGGTTTAGGCATTTGTAGTGTATACTTGGGCCTTAAAGGGGGTGCCCACATAGTAGCTTCAGGGCCACAGTATTTTTTGTATAGGTACATGGACCCTAAGGGAGTATGCAGAAGCATGTGTGGGAGCATCACCGGCTGAAGTGGGCAATAATACCCTGAGCTCTGGAACCCTAAGCCCTGAAACCCCAAACCCAAACACTACACCATTGTTGGGTACTATCTAAGAATTATCATTTTTCCTGTGGGGTTCAAGCATTTTGTAAAGACGTCAAAATGATTTTCAACAATGACCCAGCAAAACCCTAACCCCTAAACCTTAAACCCTAAACCCTAAACCCTAAACCAAACACTCGAAGTTCAAGATCACTTTCAACCTCAGACAAGGTCCAGCGCCTCCAGCCGCAACACCAGCTTCAGAAGAACCAGCATGTCTCGGTTGCCCTTTGCCAAGGCTGCTAGATGGGTTTAGGGTTGAGGGTTTAGGGTTCAGGGTTTAGGAATTTAGGGTCCCTTTTTGGGGCAGCCTAAATAAGAGGGGCCACCTTACACTAAGGACCCCAAAAGGGGCCGTATTGTAGAGAAGTGACCATATGGTTTACGGAGGCTTTAGGCGAGGGTTTCGGTTTAGGCCTATAATGGGGTTGAGGTTTAGTGGGGCTCAGGCCTAGACCCTTGTAGGGCTTAGGCTTGGTAGGGCTTGGTTCGCGGGCTTACACAGGGTTTAGGTTCAGCGGGCTTAGCGTTTTGGCCCCCGTGATACTGCAGGATTCGCCACTCTCTCTGCAAGGCTCCGAGGGACCCATCTTATCTCCAAAGATAGGGGCGCAAGGATTGACAGAAGGGCCTTTAACAATTAGAATAGGGTTTTGTTTTCTCTTGGGCGGGGGTTACTATAGTATAACTACAAAAGGACCATAAGGAAATATGATGAGTACTTATTCCGACCCCTATGTTGAGGTATGTTGGGCGTGCCATCAAGTCAAGGCTTCTCGGGTTCAACCCTAAGCCCTAAACCCTAAACCCCAAACCCCAAACCCCAAACCCCAAACCCTAAACCCTAAACCCCAAACCCTAAACCCTAAACCCTAAACCCTAAACCCCAACCCCCCAAAACCTAAAACCCCTAAACGCCCCGAAAACGACCCCAACTGGCACCTCAGTGCCTTTTCGTCGGACTTCGACGAGGCCAGGCACGGCACAGGAGTCTTTCCTGGGCTGGGTTCAGGGTTTAGGGTTTAGGGTTTAGGGTCTAGGGTCTAGGGTTTAGGGTCTAGGGTCTAGGGTCTAGGGTCTAGGGTCTAGGGTCTAGGGTCTAGGGTTTAGGGTTTAGGGTTTAGGGTTTAGGGTTTAGGGTTTAGGGTTTAAGGTTTAGGGTTTAGGGTTTAGGGTTTAGGGTTTCGGGTTTCGGGTTTCGGGTTTCGGGTGTAGGGTTTAGGGTTTAACAACCCTAAAGCCCTAAGACCCCTCAAGCCCACCCTAAACCCCCAAACCCTGAACCCTGGACCCCTCCAGGGCCCACCCTAAGCCCTGAACCCTGAACCCTCAACCCTAGACCCTAAATCCTAAACCGTGAACCCCCTCCCCACACAAGCACCAAACAGCTTTCCTGGGTTGTCAGTCAGGGTGCTGGAGTTTTGGGCTGTTGGGGTTTTTAGGTGGGGTTTAGGGTCTTGGGTTTTTGGGCTGAGGACCTTTAGGCTAAGTTGCGATTAGAAGGATCTAGGGTTTTAGGACTCTTGGGTGGTGGGGTCGGCTTAACTCTTCAATTTTTTTAGGGGTTTGGACATACAGTCAACAATGTAGCATTTCCTCGATGCTAGCTTAATTTTGACAACCCCCCCCCCCCCTGCGTTTCCCTTGCCTGGCAGTTGAGGGAGAACGGTTGCGATGATTCTCGTTCTTCCCAAGGGTAGTTACATGGTTCAGTAGCATAGGTCCTTACCATGGGGGGCCGCTGTACCCCTTGTATACCCTAGTATGCCCAAGGGCCCATAGATCACAACCCTAAACAAAATACCATGTAACTACCCCGAGATTCTGTCGGACCTTTGTGTAGTTTCATGGCCCCTTCATATGGGCCCAAAGGGACGGTAAGGGACCAGATTCAGGCCCCAGCAACTGTGCATAGATTAGCAGCTGATTTGCATTTCAACCCCCAGGGCCCTCAACCCGAAGTTTCAACGACCTTAAAGAAATCCTAAACCCACATCCAGCCCCGAAAACCCTAAACCTCTGACCCCTGACCCCGACCACCCTTACTACAGGAATCTCAAAACTAGGTGCCCTGCTTTGGGGAAAACACCAAATACCTAAACCCTAAACCCCTAAACCCCTCAACCCCTCAACCCCTAAACCCGAACCCCTAAACCCTCCAAGCAGGGCGCACTTCCAGTGCCTGGGCGGCTCGGAGGGCCTCTTGGAAGTGGGCCTGCGGGCGCAGGGAGCGAGGTTTGGGGTTTAGGGTTCAGGGTTTAGGGTTTAGGGTTCAGGGTTCAGGGTGTAAGGCCCGGGTGTTTAGGGCTTGGTCTTTTGGGATTTGGGGTTTTGAATTTCGGATTTGATTTAGAGTTTAGGGGTTGCACATAGGGGTTTAATTTGGGGGTGCAAGGCTTCAGGGCTTAGGGTCTACAACTGGAACGAGGTGCAGGCTTCCCAGCCCCAGGGGGATCCAACGAGTAAATCTCTTCAAGGGTTTGGGGTTTAGGGTTTAGGGTTTAAGGGTGTAGGAGTATAGGTTTGTTTCTGGGTTTGAAGTCGAGGTTCGCAGGGTTTGACTACGGAAAAGGGAGCGGTTTAAGGGGTTTAGGGCCTGAAAAGGTTGAGGAGATTCAAGAAGTGGGGCTTCAAAGGTTTTCCAGATTCAATGTTTGGGTCCTCAAAGGTTTAGGCCTTAGGAATTCTGTTTTTCAAGGTTTGGGGTCTCAGACCACTGAGTAGGAAGGATGGCGACCGATGGCATTAGAAGTACGGAAAGCGACGGAGCAATCGGTTGTGGAGCTAGCCCGGTTGTCCCTAGGGTTCGGAGTTCGGTGGTCAAGGCTTCCCTGAAGCCCACCAAAGAACACGTGAAGGACCGGCCTTAGGGCTTCAGGGTGCAGGGCTTGGGGTTTTCGGGATTCGGGGCCTGGGTGTAGGGGTTTAGGGGATTAGGGGTTTCGGGGGTTTAGGGGTTTAGGGTTTAGGGTTTAGGGCTAGAAAAGGGCATGCCGGTGACCTCGGGCAGAAGCGAGCTGACTTCGTGGCCTCATGCGACCCAATTTGGGGTTTAGGGCTCAGGGTTTAGGGTTTAGGGCTTGGGGTTTAGGGTTTAGGGTTTAGGGTTTAGGGCTTAGGGTTCAGGGTTCAGGGTTTAGGGTTTAGGGTTTAGGGCTATGGTTTGGGTTTGGGATGCCCCCCCTTATACTAACAGTCCTTACAAGAGATTGTAATGCGGTGGTACTATAGTCCCCATTGAGGCTGTCAGTATAAGGAGCATCCCAAGTTTGGGTTAAGGTTAAGGTGCTTGCACCCCAGAGCCTTCCAAACCTTGGGAAACTTCCGAGGGCAGCTGATCGTGAAATATCGTGAAGAGTTCCCCAAGCCCTGTCAAGCCCTCCTAAACTCCCCGTAAGCCTTAAACCCTCAACTCTTCAAAACCTCCTACCCTAAACTGCCCTTAAAACCTAAACAACATCGAGTCTGTTCCGCAACGCCCGAAGATGCATGCGAGAATAGCTTCCTACCTCAGCTCCCTACCCTAAACACCTGACAGACCCAACCCATCAAGCCCCAAGGCCTAAGCCGTACAACCAAAACCGCAAGCTCTAAACCCGGGAAACCCTGAACCCTACATCCCTTGAAGTGTTGTAGCTAAACCCTGAAGCCAATGAGAAAGCTAAATGGCCAAACTCAGCTCCCGACCTGTGGATTCGTCCGAGAAGCCGAGGATCTCCTGATCTCGCACACCCTCCGTGGATCTATAAACACAAAAACCCTAAACCCTAACCCTAAACCCTAAACCCTAGGAGCTCAGGGTTCTACAGGCTTTGCAGGGTTCACAGGGTTTATGAACGTAGGACCTCTCTGAGCGATCTGAGTAAGGTCTTTGCTACTATGTCACACATGTATGTATGTACATATACATCTACGTATTTAGTTATTAAGTTTTTGATTTATATTTAGAAATATACACATCGCTCTTTATCTATCTCGTCCATCTTGGGACTATGATGGACCCGGCGTGGGCGAGAGCCCTTGAATGTTTCTAAACTCCTAAAAAATGTTTACAAAGCTTTAACTTGAGGACTGCTGGTATACGGCGGAACATCCTAATGCTTTGACATGAAGAAATTCAAGCTCTTCTTTTGGACAAAAACCTTAAAAAGGCAAAAGAACTCAGACTGCACCATGGTCCCTGGATGGACGAGGCCCTTTTCTGCATGCTTTTTGGAGTACCCTGGTCCCTAGGCGGAGGAGGTGTTGGTGGGTCTGGCTGTAGATATTCGTTTCAGGGGGATTCGGGTTCCAGTTGGCTGGCCGTTTCGCCTGGGCTGGCCCCTGCTGGTTGGGGGAACTGGGTGTGGGCGTGCTGGTTTTGGCTGGGGCTCTGTGGCACGCCCCCTTGCGGTGATGGTCGCCCTCTGGTGGGTCGGGGTTGGGGTGCGGAAGAAGCCACCAACTTCCCACCATGCCATTGGAGACGAAAGACTCCAAAAAGGGCTGCGGGAACAAAGCATTGCACACAAGAAGCTCTATCCTCCCTCTGCGTAGCGACGACAACAATAATCTCCCCAGTCGAGTCGTCTGCAAATGCTGACACAAGAACATGGCCCTGCAGCTGCTCGTAGAAAAAATCCACACCTTCATTGGTCAGACCCCACGAGCAGTAATCAAAGAGCCTTTGCGAATTGCGAAACTCAGCACCATAAGGAGCGACAGCATCAACAAGAAGAGAAAAGCCTGAAACCGCCATGAGGAACACCCAAGTCCTCCCTGGCGGGTTTGGCGCGAGTCTCCCGATTGAGCCTGCTGCTCCCTCATAGCTACGATCACGTTCAAACTGCGCCCCCCGTGCTCAGTACCCAAATCCATGAGCTTGCCTGGGCTTGATTAAAAAAAAGGGAGGTATGAATGATAGAGTAGATTTGAACCTTTTGATGGTTTTGATGATATTCTTCATAAAAATAGTTTGAAGAAAACAGTATGAAATCATATCCGACATTACTATCAAGAACAAATGATAAAATTATAGAAGATGAAGGTGGTAGAACTATAGATGGATTAAACAAACTTATGAACACATTTTAAAAATATTTTCAAACATGTAATTACAAATTAATATTTTTAAGGCTCTTCCAAAACTTGCTTATATATATATATATATATATATTCAAATCCCTATGTCTACAAAGATGTCTTTTGAGATACATACACCAGTCAAAGTATCAGTAGAAAATGGACTATTGATCCATTAACACCTATAATTCTATAATTTTACTAATAGGTCCTTGAATAAATCTATATTGTGATACATGATCAAAAGAACATACATATAAATGAAAAGCACATCCATCTATACGGTCTATACGTTCTTCATTATATTGATATTTTTTTGATCTATGAATGGTACAATATAATATATTTTGGATAACTATGATTTTATAATGTATTCGTTCTAGAAGTTCGTTTTCCAAAGCATGCGGCTATTTTTCTTTTTTATTTAAATCTGATCCAAATAATCACATAATAGGTTCTGAACTAGCTGTCAATTTTCTTCTGTGCGTAATTCACACATTTAATCTTACACCATGTAAACGGTGTTTTCAAATATCATAGCGCATTGAAAACCAATTACTATGAGGCTCAACTGGATCTGACCAGCCGAGCAATGGCCTAGGGTTCAGGTTGTGAGGTCCTGGAATGAGAGTTTAGGGCTGAGGGCTTACGGCTTAAGTAGGGTTTAGGGTTTAGTTAGGGTTTTATTAGGGTTTAGGGTTTAATTGGGTTGAGAGAATGTGTAGGGTCGGGAAGGATTTGGTGCTGAGTCAACCCTAGATCCCAAGCCCAGTAACCATATTATATTAAGGGCACCCTTTTTTGGGTTGGTTACTTTATAAGGGAACCTTGAACCCCAAAAAAGAGAAAAGGGTATCACTGGGCTACCAAGCAAGAGTCCTTCCCAATGGCTTCCGAAGCCTCAACTGGGCTTGGCCCTCCGAAACGACGACCCTGCAAAGCTATTCCTACAGATGATCCTCTGAAGCCCAAACCCAAACCCCTAAACCCTAAACCCTAAACCCTAAACCCTAAACCCTAAACCCTAAACCCTAAACCCTAGACTTTAAACCCTAAACCCTAAGACTTGTAGGGCCCAAGACTTGGACATGCCCGTGGCCGCCAAGGCTCACCCGCAGCTTCGTTGAAGCCTTACGCAGGGTTCAGGGTTAGGGTTTAGGGTTTAGGGTTTAGGGTTTAGGGTTTAGGGTTTCGGGTTTAGGGTTTAGGGTCTAGGGTCTAGGGTTTAGGGTTTAGGGTTTAGGGTTTAGGGTTAGGGTTCAGCATCTCAAGTTCGAGCATTTACTAGGCCAGCAATGTTCCAATTCGTGCAGAACAATGGGGGGGTTAGAGGGTAAGAGGGGTCGAAATTGATCAAATTCTCCAATTCGTGCCGAACAATGGGGGGTTAGAGGGTAAGAGGGGTCGAAATTGGTCAAATTCTCCAATTCGTGCTGAACAACGGGGGGTTTAGAGGGGTAAGAGGGGTCGAAATGGATCAAATTCTCAAATTCGTGCCGAACAATGGGAGGTCAAAAAGGAAGCCAAAGAGAGATTGATCAAATTCTCCAATTCGTGCGCAACATTTAGGGTTATATGGTAGAGAGGCTTATAGTTTAGGGTTTAGGGTTTAGGGTTTAGGGCTCGGGTTTAGGATTTGCGAACCTCGCAGCTTCTATGGGTGTGTCGGATGTCAAGCGCACTCCCACATTGATTTCATTCATGAAAATCTTGGGCCTGGACACCTAAACCCTACACCCTACAGAGCCCCTTGCACTTTCATTAAGGTACCTGAGCTTCTCGAGTTCCCTGTTCAAAAACCATCAGCAAGTCAACCCCAAACCCCCCAACCCCCACACCCACAGTGTGCGCCGGGCCACGAAGAAGCTTCCCATCCAGGTCGAAGTCGAAAATCGGAACTTTTGCCAGCTGCAAGAGTTTGGCCAAATCATTGGGGTAGGTCATGGCTGCAGATGCCTGACCTGGAGGACGCAGAAATCGAAACTTGACTGTGGAAGATCTACACGAGCCACCTGGCTATAAAAAGGGCAGCCCCAAACCCTAAACCCCAAACCCTAAACCCTAAACCCCAAACCCTAAAACCCAAACCCAAAACCCTAAACCCTCAACCCCGCATCTTTTCAACCTGACCTCTCGACATCGCCTGAAAGAAGGTTCCCTGGATTCACATGGGTTTAGGGTTTAGGGTTTAGGGTTTAGGGTTTAGGGTTTAGGGTTTAGGGTTTAGGGTTTAGGGTTTAGGGTTTAGGGTTTAGGGTTCCCTGAGCCCTGCAGTAGGGCGCCCTTTTCTCAAACGCCCTGATTTGGAAACCCCCATATGGCTCCTGCAAGCATCTGCCAGGACAGCACCTCGACCCCCAAAGTCCCTCCCCCGACCCTAAAAGCCCTAAAAGCCCTAAAAACCCTGTAAACCCTGTAAACCCTGTAAATCCTATAAACCCTGTAAACCCTATAAACCCTATAAACCCTAAACCCTAAACCCTAAACCCTAAACCCTAAACCCTAAACCCTAAACCCTAAACCCTAAACCCTAAACCCTACCCTCTGCCCAACACCCTGCCTCGCCCTCTCGGGGTTTGCGCATGGGAAAGGGCGGCGAGGTTGCAGGTTCAGGCTCGAGGGTTTAGGGCTTGGGGTTTAGGGTTTAGGGTTTAGGGTTTAGGGTTCAGGCTCGGAGCCCCCAAGTTACGGACTTTTGCCTCAGGATTTTCGGGGGTTTTGGGGGTTCAGGTTAGCGTTCCCTGAACCCCAGAAGGCTTGAGGGGGATTTCGGGGGTTTAGGGTGCTTTGGGGGTTTCAGCTTCGGGGGCCTTGGGGGTTGGGAAGGCGTAGAAGTTCCAGGGCTTATAGGCTGTGCTGGGTTACTAGAGTTTAGGGTCTAGGGCTCAGGGTTGGGAGTTTTGGCGTCTACAGGGCTCAGAGGGTTTCAGGTGTCCGGGCTTCAGGCCATAGGGCACTGATGATGCAGATGTGCGCAACTGAGAGAACTTGGCGGCTGCGCGGGAGTTTGGGGTTTATGCACATGCTCAGGGGCCTAAACCCGAAACCCAAAACCCTAAACCCTGAACCCTACATCCCTTGAAGGGTTCTAGCAGCTGAATTATCGACTTCCTGGAATCTGTAGGGCTTAGGGCTTAGGGTTCAGGGTTTAGGATACAGGGTGCACCACGAGAGCATGTAGGCTTTCGGGTTTAGGGCTTAGGGTTAGGGCCCGGGCTGTTTCCTCAACCCCCTTGTGGGACTCGAGGCGTGAACACAGAAAAACTAAGTGCAGGTCTCTTTAAGCGTGCTGGAGATATGCCGACAGCAGGTCCTCTTGAAGCCAATCAGAGAGAAAGTTTAGGGTTTAGGGTTTAGGGTTTGGGGTTAGGGTTTAGGGTTTCGGGATCTCTGCAAGGTCCAAACATAGAAACACAGATGGACTTATAGACCTGCCCAAGAAGAAACGAGTGCAGTGGTTTAGGGTCAAGTCAAGGCTTGCAGTGATGTGCTGAGGTTGAAGGCATCGCCGAATCCATTCTAGACTGCCCTTAGAACCCTAAACCCTAAACCCTAAACCCTAAACCCTAAACCCTAAACCCCGGCCCAAACCCTAAACCCTAAACCCTAAACGGGTAGTAAGTAGGGAAACCCATGATGAAGCCTCGTTCTGTAGCTCGAACCCCCACATGAGGATTTCCGAACACTCTGGTATCCTTTTTGCGGGTCCCTTTCATTCTATTTGGGGTCAGAAGGGGTGCCCTTATTTTGACCCTAAACCCCTAAACCCTAAACCCTAAACCCTTATTTTGAAACTTGAGCCCCATGTTCCACCCTCCCCCCGCGCGAAGGGCACCTGTACCGGCGTAGGTGTCTTGAAGCCCTGCCGGGAGAGGCCTGGCGGAGTCAAACCGACCCAACAAATTGGGCACTCAACCTGGAGGTTCATGGTACTTCTTAACCAATTATAAGTGCACTTATAACCCACTTAGAAGCCCCTTAAGTGCCGCAATTATGGTTATAAGTACAGTTGTATGGTACAGTTACAAGTGGCTAATAGGTACCATGAACCTCCAGGAACAGCCCTTGCATAAGAATCAAGACTCGAGACCAGAATGCAAGACCAGGCTGTCGGGCCACAAGCAATGTCGAGGACCAGGGGGTTTAGGGTTTAGGGTTTAGGGTTTGGTGTTTAGGGTTTAGGGTTTAGGGTTAGGGTTTAGGGTTTAGGGTGCAGGATTTAGGTTTAGGGTTTAGGGGTACTATAGGGGTCGGAAGAATTACCCCTATGCTTGTACTAATACTATAATCACCCTGCAACTGCAGGAGTTTACAAAGAATCCCAAATAGGGTTTAGGGTTTAGGGTTCCGGGTTTAGGGTTTTGCTTTACCTGCGTCTTGTTGGGGCTTTAGGGTTTAGGGCTTCGGGTGAACAAAGAGGATCACCATTCGGATCCCTATTTTGGGAGCATCTTCCCTAAAAGGAGTCCTGTTTAAAACACTGAACCCTGAACCCTGAACCCTAAACCCTAAACCCTAGGCCCCAAACTCTAAAGCCTAAAGCCTAAAGCCCAAACAAACCCTAAACCCTAAACCCTAAACCCTAAACCCTACATTAGGATCAACCCCTAAACCTGCCGCACGACCCTCCCCAGCAGCCTACCAGGATCAGCGGGTGCAGCCCGAACTGCGAGGAGGCGCGCTGCGGAGCTTGGGGGTTTAGGGTTTAGGGTTTAGGGTTTAGGGTTTAGAGTTTAGGGTTTAGGGTTTAGGGTTTAGGGTTTAGGGTTTGGGGTCTTTGCTTGTTTCTGACCTGCTCGTCAGGCGGTTGAGCACTACAATCGAGCCTTTTCCAACCATGGCCGTGGGAGTAACGAGTGGTCTTTGGGTTTAGGGTCTATGGGAGAGGGGGAGACACGAGAATTGCAGATGCGACTTGCCGTGGGCCTTGGGTCTCTACTTCCAGGATACCTCCAGCTTTAAGACCCGAGAAAAGCTCAGGGTTTAGGGTTTAGGGACTAAGGACCCTAAAACCCCAAAACCCGAAACCCTACACGCAAACCCGAAACCCCAAAACCCCAAAACCCGGAATACCCTAAGTCCCCGAAGCCTACTAGATCCACCATCCTGAGCCCCTATAGACCGCTGGCCCCTGTTCCGCATGTCGTGGCTTAGCTTTCTGGGGCTGATCCTCTGGCCAAGACTTGGGGGGGGTGGGGTGGGGGGCGGGGGGGGGGGGGGGGGGGGGGGGGGGGGAGGGGGCTGGTTTAGGGATTTAGGGATTTAGGATGGATTTAGGAATTCGGGTTTAGGGTTTAGGGTTTCGGGACTTAGGGTTCAGAGATTTAGGCTTAAGGGCTTGAAGGATTTAGGAGCCATGGCCTGAACTTACCCTGAACTTACCCTGACCCGAACTTCTAGTCTTAGAGTTTAGGCCTTAGGGCTTTGGGTTGAAGGCTTCTGTGACGCGGAGTACACCCCAAACTAAACCCTAAACCCCAAAACCCAAAACCCTAAACCCTAAACCCGAAACCCCAAACCCGAAACCCTAAACCCTAAACACCATCCCCCTCGCCGGTGCCCTGCTCGGGTCGTGCGGGCCTCGGCCCAGGCAGGGAGCTCCGCAACCGCCAACTCCTTGCAATTACTTCCCAACATAGGGTTTCAGGGTTCAGGGTTCAGAGTTCAGGGTTCAGGGTTCAGGGTTTAGGGTTAGGGTTTAGGGTTCAGGGCTTAGGGGTACTTCTGGCCAGGCAGGCGTTTGGAGTGTTTTTGGACGTCAGAGCTCGCTGCGACCCGACGCGTGCACAGCAATGCACAAAGGCAGACACTCAAGGCACACGAGTCCGCTCGGCCAGGCCACATTCTCCAAGCTCTGGTTGAATTCGGATCCGAAGCTCAAGGACTGCAAGTGAAGCAACCCTTAAACCCAAATGTCATGCCTGAGCCCCAATCTCCGACCGCAAGCCTTCAAGTAACCTTGAATACATTTTGCAGCGCCCTCCGTCAACTCAACAAACACGAAAGCCCAACACCCCGCATTATATTCCAATATGTTGCAAACACGCATGCCACGCATAACACACATGCAACGCATATGCGCAACAATCTGAGCCTTATTGCTGTCCAAGGACACGCACATGACACAAACAATCTGAGACGGCGTTGCTACATGAGACTAACAATCTGAGACGGCATTGCTGTCAGCTGACGACCTGTTTCGGGAAGTCAGGCGAGACGGTTGTCGGAGGTGACTTCTAGCGGGCCGCTCGGTTTTGGGTTTGTAGATAACCTATGAAAAACCGTCAGAGTTTTAGGCGGCTGGCTGTTGCTTTGGTGCTTCGGGGGGTCAGCGCCTCTGAAATCTCGCTATGCTGGCTTGCCCGAATACACGCCCGAAACACGATAACCCTAGACCCTGAACCCTGAACCCGAAACCCTATAAACCCTACACCCTATAAAGGTTTAGGGTTAGGGTTTAGGGTTTAGGGTTTAGGGTTTAGGGTTTAGGGTTTAGGGTTTATGGTTTAGTGTTTAGGGTTTAGGGTTTAGGGTTTAGGGTTTAGGGTTTAGGGTTTAGGGTTTAGGGTTTAGGGTTTAGGGTTTAGGGTTTAGGGTTTAGGGTTTAGGGTTTAGGGTTTAGGGTTTAGGGTTAGGGGTTTGGGGTTTAGGGTTTAGGGTTTAGGGTTTTTCAGCTCCTCCTCTTGGGACTGGGTCTTGCTGCGCAGTTCTGCAAGCTCCTTTGAAGGCCATGTGGGGCTGCGATTGCAGCCCTAAACCCTAAACCCTGAACAAGAGGAACAAGAGGGATCCCAATTTTCGAGACCAAGTCCGCCATGCCCACTGATTAACGACCAAGAGAGGGCTTTGCAAGTTTAGGGTTTAGGGTTTAGGGTTTAGGGTTTAGGGTTTAGGGTTTAGGGTTTAGGGTTTAGGGTTTAGGGTTTAGGGTTTAGGGTTTAGGG